CTCCTGGTACTGTGTCCGCCAGTCTCTGGTTCATCTCCTGTACTGTGTCGGCAGTCTCTTGTCTTCTCCGGGTACCTATGTCCGCAAGTCTCTGGGTTCATCTCCGGTACTATGGTCCGCAGTCTCTGGGTAATACCCTCCTGGACGAGGTTCCGCAGTCTCGGACCATCTCCGGTACTGTGTCCGCAGTCTCTGATCATCTCCTGTACTATGTCCACAGTCTCTGACCATCTCCTGTAATGTGTCCACAGTCTCTGGTCATCCCCTGTACTATGTCCGCAGTCTCTGGTCATCTCCTGTACTGTGTCCCGCAGTCTCTGGTATCTCCTGTACCGTGTCCGCAGTCTCTGGTCATCTCCTGTACTGTGTCCACAGTCTCTGGTCATCTCCTGTACCGTGTCCGCAGTCTCTGGTCATCTCCTGTACTATGTCCGCAGTCTCTGGTCATCTCCTGTACTGTGTCCGCAGTCTCTGACCCTCTCCTGTCGCATTACATTCTCTGGCCCTGTGATGATGTCACATTACAGACCCCTCATATCTAGTAATATTTCCTGACTCCATGCTGCTCCCTGGCGGTTAGATGGTGGAATTTCTGGCACATGGAGGATAAGTCGGTGTAAATGATCAGTATATAGATTCGTTCTCTGGACGCCGTCCTGTCCTTCTATTCTGTGGTTTCCATGGACACGCATGTCCGCAGACGCACTCTGGACGCCGTCCTGTTCTTTTACTCTGTGGTTTCCATGGACACGCATGTCCGCAGACGCAGGTATTTGGTTTCTGCGTTGCGGATCGCACGTTCACGCAGCTGTGTGAATGTCGCCACTGAAAACAATGCAGCTGCGTTCAGATTCGTACATGGCTGGAATGAGGCCTAAAGGGGTCTACTGGTGGGAGTGGACTAGAAGCGGGACACCCCTTGGGAGGAGTTATGCAAATAGAAAATGCCTTGAGGGGCGGGTGTCAGTCTGGAGGAGTGGCTGTTCCTAGGCAGGATTCATTTGCATAGGGAACGCCTACATGTGATGCTGAGCTTCCATGATTGAAAGAACTAAAATCCAAAGGGGCGGGGCCAAGAACAGTTAGGCTGTGGGAGGAGAGGGCTAGATGATGCTGGACGTCCTCCAGCAAGGAAACGGGGCGGAGCTCTCTCTGACTGGCTGCAGCTTCTAATGCACATTGTGAGAAGCTCCCAGTGTGCGGTGACATCAGAGGAAGCCATTCCAGTCCAGGGGAGGAGCCAGTACACCTGTGCAAGACTGAAGGGGAGGAGCCGGGGACACCTGTGCACGACTGAAGGGGAGGAGCGGGACACCTGTGCACGACTGAAGGGGAGGAGCCGGGACACCTGTGCACGACTGAAGGGGAGGAGCCGGGACACCTGTGCACGACTGAAGGGGAGGAGCCGGGACACCTGCATGACTGAAGGGGAGGAGCCGGGACACCTGTGCACGACTGAAGGGGGGGAGGAGCCGGGACACCTGTGCACGACTGAAGGGGAGGAGCCGGGTCACCTGTGCACGACTGAAGGGGAGGAGCCGGGACACCTGTGCACGACTGAAGGGGAGGAGCCGGGACACCTGTGCACGACTGAAGGGGAGGAGCCGGGACACCTGTGCAAGACTGAAGGGGAGGAGCTGGGACAACTGTGCAAGACTAAAGGGGAGGAGCCGGGACACCTGTGCAAGACTAAAGGGGAGGAGCCGGGATACCTGTGCAGGACTGAAGGGGGGAGGAGCTGGGACACCTGTGCAGGACTGAAGGGGAGGAGACGGTACACCTGTGCAAGACTGAAGGGGAGGAGCTGGTACACCTGTTCAGGACTGATGGGGCCCAGCGCGGACTTTTGTCACATTCGCCCAGCTCGGACCCTTGTCACATTCGCCCAGCGCGGACCGCTTCTCACATTCGCCCAGCGCGGACCCTTGTCACATTCGCCCAGCGCGGACCCTTGTCACATTCGCCCAGCGCGGACCCTTGTCACATTCGCCCAGCGCGGACCCTTGTCACATTCGCCCAGCCCGGACCGCTTCTCACATTCGCCCAGCCCGGACCCTTGTCAAATTCGCCCAGCTCGGACCCTTGTCACATTCGCCCAGCCCGGACCGCTTCTCACATTCGCCCAGCCCGGACCCTTGTCACATTCGCCCAGCGCGGACCCTTGTCACATTCGCCCAGCTCGGACCCTTGTCACATTCGCCCAGCGCGGACCCTTGTCACATTCGCCCAGCCCGGACCGCTTCTCACATTCGCCCAGCCCGGACCCTTGTCAAATTTGCCCAGCTCGGACCCTTGTCACATTCGCCCAGCCCGGACCGCTTCTCACATTCGCCCAGCCCGGACCCTTGTCACATTCGCCCAGCTCGGACCCTTGTCACATTCGCCCAGCTCGGACCCATGTCACATTCGCCCAGCTCGGACCCTTGTCACATTCGCCCAGCGCGGACCCTTGTCACATTCGCCCAGCGCGGACCCTTGTCACATTCACCCAGCGCGGACCCTTGTCACATTCGCCCAGCGCGGACCCTTGACACATTCGCCCAGCACAGAACCTTGACACATTCGCCCAGCTAGTGTTGCAGAACCGCCCCCCCCAGTCTGAGTCCACAAGTACGGGGCCCCGGGGCACAGATGAAGGATACACGTGCTGCTCTCTGTGCTGGTATTGGTTGCTCAGCGCCTCCTCCAGGGCTCCGGGGGTCATTATCAGGAAGCAGTAGGCATGTCTCTGTAGGACCTCCTGCACCTTCTGCACGCTGCAGCCCCAGTAGCAGGTCAGGGTGCTCTCTTCCAGGCAATGAGGCCGGAACGTCACTCCCGCTGCAGACAAAACAAACAAAACTTTATCTGTAAGCTGCCGTTTACACCGCAGCGACTGTCTGCCGCTCCCATAAGCTGAGATTCTGTAGGACTGCAAAACTCCAGGCAATGCAAGCAGTGTGAGTCCCTGAATGGGACCCGGTGTCAGCCTCTTGTAGTGTCTGTACAGCAGAGCTGGAGCGTGAGAGGAAGAAGCAGCACAGGGAGCCAAACAGTTCATGTGCTAATGAGAGGCATGCTGGTGGGAGGAGAGAGCAGAGTGATGAGCTCATCACTGCGCTGCTTCTTCTATCACTGTTCAGTCACAGGCTGGGGGAGGTCCAGGATGACCTGGGCTCAGAGGAAGCGGCTTGTATAATGCTGGTAATTATTCTAATGGGAGTTATTTCATGTTGAAGAAATCTCCAGCTGGTTGTGTGCCGGTAACTGCCCCTCCCCCAGGATTGCTAATCAGCATACAGCACTGCAGGGATTGGTGGAGGACACTGAATGGAGGCCAGTGGAGGGATTGGCAGAGAGGGGTGGAGGGCACTGAGTGGAGGCCAGTGGAGGGATTGGCAGAGAGGGGTGGAGGACACTGAGTGGAGGCCAGTGGAGGGATTGGTAGGGAGGGGTGGAGGACACTGAGTGGAGGCCAGTGGAGGGATTGGCAGAGAGGGGTGGAGGACACTGAGTGGAGGCCAGTGGAGGGATTGGCAGAGAGGGGTGGAGGACACTGATTGGAAGACACTGATCTGGATGAAGTCCCCATTTGGTCCCTCACATGTGATGTTGGGTGTCGGGGTTCACAATCTCCAGTCCGAAGGGATTCTTTACTTGCACCATCCGCTTCCTGGAAAGTAAAGTATTGGAGGCGGAGTCATCGGAATTCCTCAGGATGACGGGACGTCCACACCGAACCTGGGCGGAGCAATAGTTAAAGAACACTCAGACTTTCAGGCTGAAATGAAAGAAAAGTCTGTATAAAGTTTGTTTTATGTGATGGAACATAAAGGGGTCCATGTATGACATCATCGGCTCCGCTGTCGGGGGCAGGCCGGGATTATTTACTAACAGATTTATTTCCTGTGATTGCCGGCTCCATCTAGTGGCCATAATGTTTGTATTTTCCTGTTTGTAGGGAAAAGAGGGAAGGAAGAAGGATGGGGAAGGAAAAGGAAAACAGGAGAGAAGAGGAAGATAAAGGGAGGTAAGGCAGGAAGGGAGGAAGGAAGGGAAGAAAGGAAGGAAAGGGAAGGGAAGGGAAGAAAGGGAGGAAGGGAAGAAAGGGAGGGAGGAAAGGGAAGGGAAGAAAGGGAGGGAGGAAAGGGAAGGGAAGAAAGGGAAGGGAAGAAAGGGAGGGAGGAAAGGGAAGGGAAGAAAGGGAAGAAAGGGAAGGGAAGGGAGGGAAGAAAGGTAGGAAAGGGAGAAAGGGAAGGGGAAAAAGGGAAGGGAAGGAAGAAATGAAGGAGGGAAGAGAAGAGAAGAAAGGGGAGGGAAGAAAGGGAGGGAAGAAAGGGAGGGAGGAAAGGGAAGAAAGGGAAGAAAGGGAGGGAGGAAAGGGAAGAAAGGGAGGGAAGAAAGGGAGGGAGGAAAGGGGAGGGAAGAAAGGGGGAGGGAGGAAAGGGAGGGAGGAAAGGGAAGAAAGGGAGGGAGGAAGGGAAGAAAGGGAGGGAGAAAGAGAAGGGAGGGAAGAAAGGGAAGGGAAGAAAGGGAAGGGAAGAAAGGGAAGGAAGGGAAGAAGGGAAGGGAAGAAAGGGAAGGGAAGAAGGGAAAGGTAGGAAAGGGGAGAAAGGGAGGGAGGAAAGGGAAGAAAGGGAGGGAGGGAAGAAAGGGAGGGAAGAAAGGGAAGGGAAGAAAGGGAAGGGAAGAAAGGGAAGGAAGGGAAGAAGGGAAGGGAAGAAAGGGAAGGGAAGAAGGGAAAGGTAGGAAAGGGGGAGAAAGGGAAGGGGAGAAAGGGAAGGGGAGAAAGGGAAGGGGAGGAAGAAATGAAGGGAGGGAAGAGAAGAGAAGAAAGGGGAGGGAAGAAGGGAAAGGAGGGAAGAGAAGAGAAGAAAGAAAGGGAGGGAAGGGAAGAAAGGGAGGGAAGGGAAGAATGGAAGGGAAGGGAAGAAAGGAAAGGAAGGAAGAAGGGAGGGAAGGGAAGAAAGGGAAGGGAAGAAAGAAAGGTAGGAAAGGGGAGAAAGGGAAGAAAGAAAGGTAGGAAAAGGGAGAAAGGGAAGGGAAGAAAGGGAAGGGGAAGGAAGGGAAGGGAAGAAAGGGAAGGGAAGAAGGGAAGGGGAGAAAGAAAGGGAAGGGAGAAAGAAAGGGAAGGGAGAAAGGAAGGGAAGGGAAGAAAGGGAAGGAAGAAAGGGAAGAAAGGGAAGGGAATCCCCCCCAGTTGGGAAGGGAAGAAAGGGAGGGAAGGAAAGATTTTGGGGGAGGGGGAAGAATAGGAAAAAAGTAAGGTAAGGAAGAAGAAGAAATTAAGGGGAGAAGAGGGATAGAAAGGAAAGGAAGAAGGGAATAGGACTGGGAAGGAAGTAGAAGAAGAAAAAGGAAAGGAGGAAGAAGAGAAGAGGAAGGAACTGAGGAAGGAAGTCCTCCCAGTGGGATCTGTACACATTGTATGTAGACAGAGGAAGCTCTCAGGTCTCAATTGACACCAGGCTGACTCCTGGAAAACACGGTCAGTTCGGATTTCTGGAGCCTGTGGGAGAAGCAAGCAGCTGGAAGCGGCACTCACCAGCCCAGCACCAGGCCGCAGGTGACCAGGAAGCAGACGACGACCACCGCGATGTAGAAGTGCGGGGAATAGCCGTACAATGTACTCAGCACTGTGGCCGGCATCGCCGCTTCGCTCTCCCCTGATCTCTCGGCCTCCGTACCCGGAGCTGTCATCTCCATGGCTCCCGCTGATTGGTCGGTTCCGCAGCTCCATGCCGGATCACATGACTGTGTCGCTGAGCGCTCTGCCGCCATTTTGGTTTCTGGAAAGACCGAGCATAGACAAGAATAAATTAGTATGACCCCACGAACAAAGTTTTTATTCATTTTTCAAGAACGACGCCCCGGGACATCCATCTTTGGATCCCTTCTAGTCGGTTTCTACACAGAGGTAGATTTGGGAGTCGCCCGTTTCAAAGATGGCGTCACTGACACTAAAAGGCAAGCGTCGCCTCTCTTGACTACACTTGAACTCCTGTTTCGTATTTATAAAATCTCTCCTCAACGGAGATCGGAAGCGAATCCTCCAAAAGATCTGCTCCGGCAGCCCTCAGGATGGTTCCAGTTGACAGACCCAACTCTGCCCTGTTTAAAGATGGCCGCCGGCCTGGGTTGAGTAGGCGCGGCTCCGCCCACTGATGCGGGCTCTACCCTCTGGTTGGCCGGGGTGCGAGTCACATGACGTCCCCTTGCTACCTCCCTCGCACCGGGTGTTGGCTGAGGAGTCAGGCGGCGAGCAGAGCCGAAGGATCGTCAGCGAAGATGGGTGAGTGTGGGGGGAGGAGGAAGGGGTCACCCCGCGCAGTGTTCCCCGCCCCCCGGAGGGCTGAGAGCCTCCCCGGTATCATCCCTGTCACCAACCCCCCCCCCCCCCCGGGGAACCTCTCCATCTGCCGGGTGTAGTGCCCAATACCGGCCTGCAGGGGGCAGCACAGCAATGGGGGAGGGGGACAGTCATTCCTCTCCATCATACCAATGTCTGTCCCCCCCCCATCATCAATGATTATCAATAATCCCTCCAATTTATAGTATACACCTTCTATTATACCTGGTGACGTCATCACCAGGCATCTGTGCTTCTCTATGCAATGCAGGCAGATAATGGATGGTAGAGAGGCCAACAGAGACCGCGGACACGGTACAGGAGATGACCGGAGACTGCAGACATAGTACAGGAGATGACCGGAGACTGCAGACATAGTACAGGAGATGACCGGAGACTGCAGACATAGTACAGGAGATGACCAGAGACTGCGGACATAGTACAGGAGATGACCAGAGACTGCAGACACAGTACAGGAGACGACCAGAGACTGCGGA